TTCTGCTAGAAGGATGACTTGCAAACCTCTGCAAAGGATAGAAACGTTGTAGACATAATAAAAAAAAAATCTGATCAGCCTGAAATTCGTGTCAGCTGATATTGGAAATTATTTTTTTTTCTTTTTGAAAACATTAGAAACATTAGAAACTTTAACTTGACCTTGACTTTGGGTAGTTCAATAATATACATATATTCATCTGCGCTGTCCAAACCCAAAATATGGTAACACTTCGAATAATAACATATATTCATCTGCGCTGTTCAATAATATACATATATTAGAAACTTTAATAGACATAATATACGGTAACACTTCGAATAATAACATCCCTTAGAGCATTGGCAGCAAGGGCCTAAGGGGAGGGTTGGGGGGGGGGGGCCAAACCCAAAATATGGTTTCCAGCAACAAGGATCTGTCAGGACAAGCAGTGGGGCCCACATACCTGGGCTGGCCCGAGCGCTAACCCGCAGGCTATGCTGATGTCATCGTGCTGACGTCACGATGACGTCAGCGCTGAAGTTTAAATTTTTTTAACGTTTGCGAGTGCAATGCATGCGCTAACTTTACAAAAAATTTGACATGCCGCTACAGTGCCCGCCCAATGGCTCTCTTCCACGTGTCTTCTTCTGGGCCATCCGATCAAATTTTTAAACATATCCAACAACAGACATTTTTTCGTGAATAAAAAAATCGAAAAAGCAACCCCCAATGGCTCTCTGCCACGTGGAAGCTTCTAGGCTCTCCGATCCTTGTTTTCAAGCAATCTAACGACATGCAATTTTTTACCCAATAAAAAAAAAAAGAAAAAAAATCGGAAAAAAATTAAAAAAAATACTGAATTTTTTTTTTCTATAAATACCAACCAATACTCTTCATTTTTAACACCAACTCCCCATACATTTTCTTCTCCTTCTACTATTTTTCACTTTCTACTCAATTTTTTTCACTTTCAAGTTATTTTTTTCTCTATCATATTATGGGTTCTTCTAGTGAAACCGGAGGAGGGGCATGAAGCATGACGGAAGATATTAGCTTGTGTGAGGCTTGGCTCCAAGTTAGTCATTGTCCCGAAACGGGCAATGAGATCAAATTCTGT